GTCCAGTCAAGGGCATGTACCTGGGTTGTAGGTTCGATCCCCAGTCCCAGTCAGGGCACATGTGGGAGGCAACCAATCAACGTGTCCCTCTCATATCGATGTTTTTCTTTCTGTCTTTCCCCCTCCCTTCCACTCTCTCTAAAAATCAATGGAAAAATATCCTCAGGTGAGGATTAACAAATAAACAACAACAAATAAAATTAGAGGATTTACCCAAAGAAAAATCACCAACACAGGTTTAGAAAGGTAAACACTGTTACTTTTACCAACCATCTTTGTCATAATTTTATTAGCAAACTGTACTGTTCAGCTTTATATTTTAACTAGAGGCCCGATGCACAAAATTCGTGCAAGGAGCTTGGCCCTCACAGCCCCAGCTGCCTCAGCCCTCACAGCCCTGGCTTCATCCAGAAGGTTGTCTGGACTATCGTTCTGCTGTTCAGTCTAATTAGCATATTAGCTCTTTATTATATAGGATATGCCTCAACTTCAAAAGGTTACTTTTGTAACTATGGGAGGTGGTATTAATTAAACTTATTGTCATGATCATTTCACAATACATCATATAGCAAATCATTATATTGAACACCCTAAATACAATGTTATATATCAATTATATCTCAATAAAACTGGAAAAAATACTAGTACAGTAAAATCATAAGAACCACATTTACCTTAAAATATGGAGTATTTTTTTCAATATTTTTAAAATCTTACATGTGAAATTTACTGTTCTAAACAGCATTACAACTTTCCACATGCAATCACACAAAATATAATAAAAATGTAAAACATTAAAGAAAAAAAGGTTACTTGATTAAGTACTAGACAAGATAGCTTTTTTAAAAATATCACATTTGCCTCAATGAAAGTATACTTTCATGCCAAGTATACTTTCATACTTTCTTTTTTTTTCCAAGTAGCTTTCTTGATAAGATAATCTAACATTTTAATAACTCAACTGCATATTAACACAGAAAATGTACCTAATCACAGACTTTTATTTATTTATTTTTTTGCTAATTTTAGAGAGAGAGAGAGAAGGAGAGAGAGAAAGAGGGAGGGAAAGAAAGAGGGAAAGGGAGAAAGGGAGGGAGGAACATGAATTTGTTGTTCCACTTAGTTATGCATTCATTGGTTGATTCTTGTATGTGCCCTCACCCAGGATCAAACGTACAACCTTGGTGTATCAGGACTACTCTCTAAACCAAGCATGTCAAACTCGCGGCCGGCGGGCTGAAATGGTATGTAAAAAACATTTTAATAAAAATTTCGTAACTTAATTTTTACAATATCCTGTTATACATAATTATTAATGAACTACAACGTTCACTAGTGACTGATTGCTATAATCGTGTTGCATTCTTTTCCCTTACGCGCCTTATGTGCAGGCGCACCATTTCTCTCCACTAATACTAGCAGCTAATATTTTAGCAACTGATTGCCGTGTCAGTCTTGTACTGACTTGTTTGGTGTGAGCAACAGGAAATATTTCGCTTTTGGAGAACAAGAAAAAGAGGTTTATTTGCGTTACGCTTATTAATGTGTGCAGTTATTCAGTGTCTGATAAGTTAATGTTCAAGAAAAAATATTAATTTTTTTTAAATGTTCTATTATTTTATATTAACGATTACTCATTTATTTCAGCCCTTTGTATTCAGCATGTCTCTATCGAAATAAACCTACGTTTCTATGAAAATTGAAGCTTTAGTTTTTTGGGGGCCCACATAAACTGAAACCTTGTTTATTTGGCCCGTGTTAGCCTTTGAGTTTGACATCCTTGCTCTAACCAATTGAACTACCTGGTCAGGGCTATGCTGATTACTGACTTTTAGAAAATATCTGTATTTAGAAAGAGGTAATCTTTTGGAGACTTGACTTTAAGGAGTGAACCACGATGAAGTATACAGATGACACTGTACAATGGAAACCTGTAAATTTTATTAATTGATATCACCCCAATTAATTTTTTTTAAGAGAAAGAGGTAACATTTGGGTGCTTATTATGTACCAGTCACTGTGCTAAAGAGATTTATGTGCATTATCTCACTTAATCCTACGAGGCAGGCACTATTATTAGCATAACTATTCTACTAAGGGGAAGTAGAGTTTAAATTTTGTACCCTAATCTGAACTCAGAGCTCAAGAAAGATCCTTAACTTCATTCCTGTTCAAAACAGTTGTCTCTAGGTACAATAGATCTTAATTAAAATCTCCAGAAAATTAAAGTTACATTATTGCACAAACTTCATAAACGATGACTGAATTTCCCCTTCAGCCTTCTCTTTAATATGCCAAAATAATAAAGACCCTGAGCTTCCCTAAACTTTAATCATTTATGGTGCTCTCTGCTGTACCTACCCATTAGAACAATTTAAAAAAACATTACCACTACCAATTATTTTCAAAAGCCCAAAGATACTAATCAAGGGATCCTAATAGTCTTAAACACTATCCTCAAACCAAAAGATAAATGGAGATTGGGAAACTTGCATTCTAAAGTGCCACCATCCAGATAAAAGTACTCTGTGAATTAGAGTAATTTCAATCAGATTCTATAAAACTGAACATTTTTCTCAAGACCAGAATTAAAGAGTAACTATAATATGGTTTCAGGGCCCAAACTCTGAAACATAAAATGGTCTGCCACATGGCAAATTAATAGCAAAAGGCGGGTAGTAGGGACTAGGGAGAGCAGCAATAGTGTAGAAAAGTAGTAACAAAAATCATTACAAAATGATTTACCTATTCATTTCACTGGCCATTCTGCCTTAATACAAGACTGTAACTGTTCTCAAAAACCATATGCTGCTTAAAATAAGACTAATATCTTACTACATAGTATCCTGAGTTTTAAGTAACATATTACATATTATGAGAAACAATGGCATTTTATTTATTTAATATATATTTTTATTGATTTCAGAGAAGAAGGGAGAGGGAGAGAGAGCTACAAACTTCAATGATGAGAGAGAATCATTGATTGGCTGCCTCCTGCACGCCCTCCACTGGAGATAGAGCCCAAACCTGGGCATGTGCCCTAGACGGGAATTGAACCTGGGACCCTTCAGTCCACAGGCAGACGCTCTATCCACTGAACCAAACTGGCTAGGGCAACAATGGCATTTTATAAGCATTAGAAACTCAATTACATTTTCTTATAGAGCACTTGCATTTATGACTGTAACAGTCATTAATATACAACAAACTTTTAGATAATACAAACCTGTGCATGTGTACACAGGTTAATTGTATAACTTAGTAATCGTTCTTAAGATTATTGCCTTTAAAATGCAAATGATCACACCATAAGAACAACTTATTTTTATAAGTGTCACATCAGCTATTTGGTAACCAAGTATCATATATATTTTTAAAATTAAGTTATCAGGCTAGAGTCTACTTATGCACTCAGCAAGATAAACTCAGTTATTAAATGGAGGAAGTGTAGGCAGGAGATTCCACTTCAGTTGTGTGACAGGAAGTACTAGCTATGGAAGTTTAGAAACAAGAATACCAAGTTCTGTTTCAGCAAAAGAAAGAAAGGAAAACATGCTTGGCGAATAAGGGTAAAAGAGGAAGTTCGTTTTGGTGAACAATAAGCCACATATTTAAGACAATCCAAAGTAATTCCAAAAGTTAAAAAAAAAAAAAAAAAGACCTCACTTTTTCAGTAGGCTTAGGTGGTAATGTACTTCCCTAGGTACATGGAGCCTGGATTTGCAGTTTCACTACAACAAGGCTGCTTATGGGTCACATTTTACATATCTGTAGGGAGGTATGAGTAGCTTGTGTCATTAAATTGTTAGTTTCATATCTCACAGTTTGATGATATTTAATTTAGCAAAACTACATAAGTAAATCATTTTTTAAAATATATAAGTCTCACAACAATGTAAATATATTTAACACTATAGAAATGTGAATTTTAAAACGGTTAAGATAATAAATTTCATGTTGTGTTTTTTACCACAGAAAAAGTGAGTAAGTCAATGAAGAAATTATTCCATTTAAATGTTAATAGTAACTTGTTGTGTAAAGTTTGATTACTCTAAAGCTAAATTCTTATTATGCTTAATTTTTAAGAAAATAATTTGTTGTTGTCACCTTTAACAGCCGGATTCATTTTATGTAGTTAATTTTTAAAGATACTTCCATACATGAGCATGAACTACAGAGAGTGAAGCATTATTCTCAATTAGCATCTTTGAAATCATCTGAATTCCTTATTGCCAAGAAATACTAGTCATGAAATTATTGTGTTTCTACTTCAGCTGGCTCATTCATTCAATGAAGTGCAAACCTCTAAATTAACAGAGCAAGATCCCTAACTGACAGGCTTTTGTCAAAGCGTCGTAGTCCTGGATTGTGAGGTAGGCAACACTGCCCACCCACACCTCCGACCCCGGTGGCCCTGAACGCTAAGGTCAATGTCGTTTCCAATCACCCCTCACCGGGCTCAGCCACACCAAATTGGTCAGACTTTTGTGAACTCCCATTAGATTCTGTTCAAAAAAGTGTACAACCGAGGTTAGTCTGGTGGCTTGGGAAGAGCGCAAACCAACCAGCTTGGCTCGGCCACCGCTGGGAAAAGTGTCCAAGAAAAAAAAAAAAAACACTGGGAAGGTTTCAACTTTGCGCAAACCCCCTATCTCAGTCACATCTACCTCCCTTCCCGAAAGGCTGTGTTCTGTGTTCTCGAAAGATCTACCCCTTTCCAACTCGAATGTCATTCCCAGATCAGCTGCCGGAGGGGCAAGCGGCGCCCAACCCCCGTCCGCATCTCCGTGCACCTTCCCCAAGCGCCGGCGCTGGGCTCAGCTCACGCTGCAGCCCCCAGCCCAGCCCTCGGGGAGCCTGGCCCCAGACCCCGCCCGCGGACAGGGCAGCCCCCGGGGATCCCGGCCTGGGCTGCCCCAAGGGATGCGCTCCTGGGTCGGCAGGGGGCGACCCAAGGGGGCAGGCAGGGTCCCACTGTGCGCAGGGGTGGACGGCCTCACCTTGACCCTGATCTCATAGGTGGTGAAGCGGCCTCGGCCGACCCCCACCGTCTGCGGGTTGCTCACATCGATCTCAAGGAAGTTGCTGGGCGGCCCGTAGGCGTCATTCAGGTTCTGCGGCTTGGTGATCAGCCGCCGGGTATCGGCCACCGTCTCCGCCATGTCGCTGGTGCAGCCGCCGCCGCCTCCGCGGGCTCCCTCCGCCCCCGCCGCGTTCCGCCGCCGCCGCCGCTGCTGGCCGCGGGGACACCTGGCTCGCGCGCAGCGGTCGCGAGGCGAACGAGCACGTAGGGCGGGCGTTCACCCCGCGCGCGAAGCTCCTCCCCGCACCCCTCCGGCTTCCGCCTCTCGAGCTCCGGGAAGAGACGGCAGACTCGCCGGAATGCCGCGCCCGGCCCGGGAGGCCTTGCTGAGGCCGCGGAGGGGCCTGCGGATCAGACGGAGGAGGAGGAGGTGGAGGCGGAGGAGGAGCGGCGTCACGGGACTTGTAGTCAGGAACAGGTTCCGGCCGGACTACAGCGCCCACAATGCACCGGGCGAGCGCGTCGCCGTGGGAATGTGGCAGGGTTTGCGGGACCCAGGGAAGCGGGGGCGGCGCTTCCTGTCTCTTTGCGTCCTCTTGGGCCTGGAGCGGTGGGGAAAACTCGGGGAAGGGTCTTCTCCCCCGGGGAACTGCGGGACAAAAGTTAAACGACGAGATATGAGTGCTTTACTGGCTCTCGAAACCGAGCTGCCAACGCTAACCCGGTGCCAACCTACCCACCGCCTCACCTGTACCACGGGCTGTGCTCTCGTGGTAACCCTGAACACATGCCTCAGTGACTTTGACATCACCTTCCAGAGTTTCACCAAACCGTGTCTGATTTGGTAACTTCAAGGCTGTAAAGTAGGAGTGGAATTAAACCGTTTTTGACTGGCGGGCTCTCAGAAACAAAATACCATATAGTAGCTAGGCTGAAAGCTGCCTTGAATGCCCTATGTTTGGGTGACCTGCAACTTTTTCCTTCAGTTCCCACACAGTCCCAGTTGTTACAGAATAGTAAGAACCTAGGAAAATTTCAGGAGGAGTGGAATGGGAAAGCTGAGACCGACAGTTAAACAGCAGTTTATGTCCACCTCGTAAATTCTATCTTCCCTAAACCAAGGACACTAGAGTAAATGGTTTGCACTCCTCCCCAACTAGAGGGTAAATAGTTTAAATCTTCCAACTCAGGGAAACGGATAACAGAAATCCGATTAAGTCCCATTTGCCAACCACACCCAAGGACAGACAGATTGAGAAAATAAATCTCATTTTGGGACATCAGCTTAAAGCAGATGAATATTCTGTTGATCTGCCCTTAAGACCTCCCCTAACCGCCCCGCCTTTAAAACCCCTGAAAATGAAGGTCCCAGTGCTGCTCTCCCTTCAGGAAGCACACCCCTTGCCATTCCTCCCTTCCACCGCTCCTTCTCTTACCTACCCCGCCTCCTATGTATCCCTAACCTCTAAGTGACCCCCTGAGGCTTGCAACCAGGGAAGCAATGGGCGGCAGCAGCCCATCCGGGTCTAACCCCTGAATCTGTCTCTATCCTTTTCCCCCTTTTCTCTGACTTCCCAGTGAGCCAAAGCCGCCCAGCCTAGGCTCTCCTGTTGCCTCTTTTATGCCCTTCCTTGTTTCACTCTTCTATGTATATTTTTGCTGTAGTCAATAAATTCTTTGCTTGCTTTTCTACACTTTTGTCTCTTGATTGAAATCGTTCCCTCAAGAAGACAAGAACTGAGGTCTCCTCCTCTCCCTGGTAACATCTTTTTGGTTTAAACCATATAACCCAGGGGTTCAGGGCCATGGTCTCTCTTGACTGGCCTGCTGCTGCTCGCTTGGAGTGTATCTTCAATAAATCCCACTTTGCTTTATTTTCATTTTCCTTGACCTTAAAATCTTTTCTGCATTGATGGGGAGAATCAAGGTCCCCGCCGGTAACACAGTAAGTTAAAAAATAAAAAGTGACAAACTTATCTCTGCAGCATTTGAAATGAAACGCAGATAAACCTTTATAAGAAATGAAAACAAGACAAAACAAGTATATCATAGTTCCTTTCTACCAAATGCAGGTTTTGAACGTTGAGGTAAAAGATAAATTTCTTTCCCTGCCAGGAGAGTTATCTCCCTTAATGTTATAGCCCCACAACTATTTCTGAATTTTTTATGTTCTTTCAGAAACTGGTGTACTTTATTTTTTATTTTTGTTAATCCTCACCTGAGAATATTTTTTCCATTGATTTTGAGAGAGTGGAAGACGACGAGGAGGAAGACGAGGAGGAGGAGGAGGAGGAGAGAGAAACATCCAAGTGAGAGAGACACATCAATTGGTTGCCTCCCCCATTGCTCTGACCAGGGCCAGGGATCAAACCTGAAACCCAGGTACATGCCATTGGCTGGGAATTGAACCCAGGACCCTTCAGGGTGCTGGCCAATGCTTTAACCACTGAGCACACTGGGCAAAATTGATGTACTTTATTTTATTTTTTAATATATGTTTTTATTGATTTTAGAGGTGAAGGGAGAGAGAGAAAGAGAAATATAGATCAGCTGTCTCCTGTATGCCCCCTACTGGGGATTCAGCCCACAACCCATCATGTGCCCTGAACCGTAATGGATGGGACTGGTGACCTCTTTTTTTTTTTAAATATATTTTTTATTGATTAAGATATTACATATGTGTCCTTATCCCCACGTTACCCCCTACCCCCCCCCCCCCCCCGCACATGCCCTCACCCCCCTGTTGTCCGTGTCCATTGGTTAGGCCTGTATGCTTGCATATAAGTCCTTTGGTTGATCTTTCCCCCTTACCTCCACCCTCCCCTACCTTCCCTCCAAGGCCTGACAGTCCAATCAATGCCTCTCCGTCTCTGGATCAGTCCGTGTTCATCAGTTTATGTTGTTCATTATATTCCACAAATGAGTGAGATCATGTGGTATTTATCCGCTCTCCAGTTCCATCCATGCTGTGGCAAATGGTAAGAGTTCCTTTTTCTTCTTCCTCTTCTTAAAGAATACCTTTCAGCATTTCATATAATGCTGGTTTGGTGGTGGTGAACTCCTTTAGCTTTTTCTTATCTGTGAAGCTCTCTATCTGACCTTCAATTCTGAATGATAGCTTTGCTGGATAAAGTAATCTTGGTTGTAGGTTCTTGGTATTCATCACTTTGAATTTTTCTTGCCACTCTCTTCTGGCCTGCATGGTTTCTGTTGAGAAAACAGCTGACAGTCGTATGGGACCGCCCTTGTAGGTAACTGACTTTTTTTTCTGGCTGCTTTTAAGATTCTCTCTTTGTCTTTTGCTCTTGGCATTTTAATTATGATGTGTCTTGGTGTGGTCCTCTTTGGATTCCTTGGGGTTCTACGTGCTTCCTGGACTTGTAAGTCTATTTCTTTCACCAGGTGGGGGAAGTTTTCTGTCATTATTTCTTCAAATACGTTTTCAATATCTTGTTCTCTCTCTTCTTCTGGCACCCCTATAATTCTGATGTTGGTACGCTTGAAGTTGTCCCAGAGGCTCCTTTCACTATCTTCATATTTTTGGATTCTTTTTTCTTTTTGCTTCTTCGGTTGGGTATTTTTTGTTTCTTCGTATTTCAAATCTTTGACTTGATTCTTGGGATCCTCTTGTCTGCTCTTGGATCTCTGTATATTATTCTTTATTTCAGTCAGTGTATGCTTAATTTCTAGTTGGTCTTTTTTCATATCCTCCAGGGTCTCACTAAATTTATTGGCAGTTATCATAAAATTCTTGAAAAACCTTATAAATGTGGTTTTGAACTCTATAGCCAGTTGTTTGCTTTCCTCCATTTCTGTCATTTGTGACCTGTTTCTTTGTCTCTGCATTTTTTATGCGTCCCTGTGTTGGTAGAGTGGTTTTGTGTGCTAGGTGTCCTATAGGGCCCAGTGGCTCAGCCTCCCCAGTTACCTGAGGTGGACACTCTTGGTGCACGGGACTGGTGACCTCTTGATGCATGGGATGATGCTCAACCAACTGAGCCACACTGGCTGGGCCCAATATACTTTAAATCCTCTGTCCCTTAAACTTAAAAATTGTCCAGATCATTAGCAACCATTTCTAATAATACTGAGAACAAGTTGAAATAAAGAAATTACTTTAAAATGATGTGATTATTTTCCAAAAAGTGCATTTATTGAATCAACAAATATTTATTGAAGGCCTATAGATATTTTTCATTCTAGACACTAAAGAGATAAGAGTAAGACATGGAAATTCTCTGATCTCATTGAGATCATAAATTGATAAGAAAAATACAACCCCACAGAAAAATAGACAAAGTACTTTTCTATATTTTTTTCACATAATAAACAACAAATAAGAAGTCAAAATGCATTTAGAGTATTCACTGAAAAATCTACCTTCTATCCCTATCGCTAGCCATCTAGTTCCCCTGTTACCAGTTTCTTGTGTAATTTTGTATCCTTCCAGAAAAAGTCTAGCATGTAAAACATGTGCATATACATATTAACAGAAATAGCATCATAGGATACACTTTTGTACCATATTTCCCTTAATAATGTCTTGAAGATAGACTCACATTTGTATAGCACCCAAGTACTCCATTACATGATGTGCCATAATTTAACTTGTCCTCTACTGATGAATATATATATATATATATATATATATATATATATATGATTATCTCAACCTTTCGACTGTTACAATGCTGCAAGAATAACCTTGAATATGACATCATTCCAAACTTGGGATTAAATTTGTAGAATAAAGTTTATAAATGGACTCACTGGGCCAAAGGATATATGCATTTATGAAATATTGCAAAATTTCCTTCTGTACATGTTTTACCTGTTTACACCCTGTTCAGCAAAGGATAGACGTGCCTGTTTGTCCATAGCTTTACCAACACCAAGTGTTAGCAAACTTTTTAATCTTTAATATTCTAAATCATATCCTCCTTTTAATCTTTTTTATGAGTACAGTTGAGCACCTTTTCTTTTTTAATCCTCACCCCCAAGGACATGCTCAAAGAGAGGAAAGGAGAGAGAGACACACATTGATGTGAGAAAGAAACATCAGTCGCTTGCCCTCTGCAGGCTCCCCAACTGTGCATGGAACCCAGGTATGTGCCATGACCAGGAATGGAACCAGCAACCCTTTGTGCACAGAATGGCTCTCAACTAATTGAGCCACGTTGGCCAGGTTTGAGCATCTTTTCAATATGTTTACAAGGCATTCCTATTTTCTTTTTTGTGTGACCTATGTTAAAAAAAAATTCAATTAAGTAAATGTAAAGATCAAAGTGGCTTTATTCAATGATTCATGAATTAGCAGCATTCCATCTAGCAAATAGAAAGGATCTTTGAGGAGCTGTACAAAATGGAAAGCTTCCATCCTGGCCTGGTAGCTCAGTTGGTTAGAGCATTGTCCAGAAACATCAAAGCT